AATGCCATCTAAATTTGCAGAAGTGTGGTGCCATATTTTCTCTAAAACAAAATTCTCTTTTCTAGTATAGTAAAGTATGACGGTTTCCAGGACCTGACCTAGACACAGATTATCAGCAGCTTTTGGAAATGTTTTCCGCCTAAACAAATGTCTTCTCATCTGTGCAATCTGACAATTTCTGGCTGAAATGAAATCCTTCATGGAAGCAATTCTATGTGTCCCATATCTCTCTCTCCTAGCATAATTTGTAAAAAAAAAAATCTTTTTGTCCACTACCCATCTATATCTTTTTCATAACCTTCTTATACATATATTGTTATTCCAATATTGGTCATAAATACCAAGCTATTTCTACTCCAGTAACCAATCAATACCCTGACAGATATTTACAGTGACAAAGGTTTCTCCTGTTCTCTTGCTCAACATTAGCCACTGCAAGAGACTGCATTAATGTTGAACAGATTATTTTAGCCAAACAGAAATACAATGATTTACGTGTTATCTTGGAAAAAGAGGCTATAATCCTCCTTTAAACTAATTTAGAAGTTTCAAAGCTCCGGGCTTTTTTGACTGTATAGTGAGCCTATCTTCTTTTTCTCTGGTTTTACTTATCTAAAATACTGGTGCACAAAACAAAAGAAGAAAAATCCACCAAGAGTTACAAGGTTGCTCAGAGGAACATTCCTACCCTGTGGAGGCTTTTGCATTCTTATGCCGCATCAAACAGTTTGAGGGGCAAGAGGAGCCTGATTAAATAATACACCATACTGATTTATACTCCATTAGATACAAGATGAAAACTACAGGCATATAAAGGTAGGGTTATGCTCAGCATGTTAGCTCCTACAGCCAGATGCCAGTCAAAAGGATATCTACAGCAATTTTCTGCAAGGAAGCTGTTGCCCTCTGCAAAACATTTAGTCTCACTAAGGGAGCACTCTTCCCAGCTGTTGCTTCAACGCCAGGTGTCCTAGGCCACTGGTCTTCAACTGGTCTGTTGGAATCTGCTACTGGGCTGTAGCCAGACGTACACTGCATCACAACAGCAGCACTGCTACTATATAAATAAATGGATTTTTTTTTAAAAAAGTATTTGTTCATCAAGAATCAGCGCAGTCTAGTGAGCAGAATGTCAGACTAAGATTCAGGAGCTGTGGGTTCAAATCCCAGCTCAGCTATGGAAGCACACTGGGGAGTGGCAATGGTAAATCACTCCTTGAACATATCACCTACCTTGAAAATTCTACTGACATCGTCCTAAATTGTATATGACTGATAATGTTCCCTCTAAGCTGCATGGGTGCACGGCCATGCAGTGCTGCATCAGTGCCCTGTACCTGCAGCCAATGTTGTCACCCATTTGGGCAGAAAATGAAAGGGAATGTTGCTGATGACAAATCACGCATATTTGTACATACCATGTTTATGCACATAGGCAATGAGTTTATTCCCTACTAAGTACTGTATGTTTAGGACTCCAGTCTAAGAAGCTAGTCAAAATATATGTCTGGGCTAAAGGTGTGTCCCAAGCCTAAAAATATTGTACACTGTCCTATTCCCCCCCCCTTTTTTTTACAAAGGCATTGCTGTTTTGTCAGACCGATGACATCCAAAACAAGGAAATAATACTTTGCCAGATTAACTAAACAAGCACTAACAGGGCAGAATGCAGATTTCTACCAACATCCTATTATGTCTATTACTTTCCTGACAACTTCTCACTGTGAAATGATAATTAATGTATACATAATAGGGATATATATGAAAATCTCCGCCTTCCCCCCCCACACACACACATCTGCTCACCAGTCATCACTAGTGTTCTGCAATATCTGTTTCTTAGGAAGCATTTTATCATGGGTTCTAATTATTAGATTTCAGTCATTTGCACATAGGCCTGCTTTACGAGGGAGGAAGCTTATCTATTCAACTCTGCTGCATGACCCAGAGAAAAGTGTTGAGTTGTCAGAGATGGCCATTTATCTTAATAACTGAGTTTCTAAGTAGTATGGCCAAATCCTATTAGTTACAACAACCAGAGTAACACAGTTGGTGTAATCTTATTGGCAAATATTTGGCTCAACAGTAAATGCCTATACTAACTTCAACTTGTTGCAATTTGCCAACAAGATTTATACCTACTACATTACACTCAGTAAGATTTTGGCACATAAATACAAGTATTTTAGTTTTAAAGTTAATCATTTTTTGGCAGACAAAAAAGTGAAAGGGTGCTGAAAGGTTACATGTAGGAAGAACGTGAAAGAAACAGGAACCATCAATGTTTTAGAGGTACTCTTTCAGCCATTGTCAAAAGAACATGAATTACACAAAAGGCCCATACCTAGTCAGACTCCAACCTCTCCCTTTCTTTCATGTTCTGGCACACAGGGACAACGTAAACATATTGCACAAACCCCTGCTCTTCAGCCTACCATGTTTGCACATGGAAAACAACACATTCCTCCCCATTGCATGTGTTTTTCATAGATTCTCACAGTGACTGGACTGAACATACATTTATTTGTTTCTGCACAGAAGGCCTTAGGAATAGACCTCGATAGATGGGAAACCCTGACATCTGACCGTTCAGCCTGGAGGCAGGCAGTGCATCACGGCCTCTCCCAATTTGAAGAGACCCTTGTCCAGCAGGCAGAGGCAAAGAGGAAGTCACAAAAGCAGCAAAACCAGGGAGCTGGGCAGGGGACAGATTGGATTTGTCTTCAGTGTGGAAGAGATTGTCACTCTCGAATTGGCCTCTTCAGCCACACTAGACGCTGTTCCAAGTCCTCCATATAGAGCACGTCATCATAGTCTTTCGAGACTGAAGGATGCCTAACTAACTAACTAGAACCTCTCATTGCTCAGCTTCAATGACTGGTCCTTGATTTCTAGTGTGATAAGGGACGGAGAAAACTATTGTTTTTTCTGATCAGTGCTGCCATTTGGTCATCAAGTCAGAGAGAGACAACTCAAACGGTTAGGGGGACAAGAGGAGCCCCCCCAAGGAAAAGTTACAACATTTGGAATGTGTTACTTTAGGGGGGGAAATGACTGAGTTATATGGAAGGAGGACCTAACAGATTCCAGAACTGCTACTTCACACTTAAAAACATATCCAGCCATTTCTTGCACCTTCCAAAGAAAAGAATTTTATACTGCTCCAGTCCACTTCAATTAAAATGATACAGTCTGCAAATGTGTTTACTTTTCCATTTGTGTCCTTTGGTGTTTGTTGGACATATGTAAAATCCTATTATGCTTCCACACACAGGATTCATCTTTATGCAAAGTGATGTGCTAAGCCACGAAGGCCCTTCAATGCAGCAGATCTGTGCCAAATGTAGGTTTGCCCACGTAGAGAATCCTGTGCCCTGCAACGCTGCATGAAAGGCAGACAACCAAAATGTGAAAGCAGCACACTGGGAACTTTATGCCTGTGATTGCACTGTTCTAGGCAAAGAAACCTGTCGAAAAGACAGGGGTAAGCCCTAGAAGAGTTACAGTTCAGAGCACAGCCACTGCTCCCTTGCCACAAGGCAGAGAAAGAACAGCTCCTGGCACTTTCCAGGGGTAGGAAATATATACCAACATACAGCTTGGAAGAACGATCAGGTACCGTATTGTTCATGCTGCATAAGTTTTAAAAGAACGAAGACAAATGGGTTGAGGCAGCTTCTGTATCTTTCATTTCCATCTTTGTGGTGACACCACACTGTGAGTCAGCACAAAGCCTCCATGACCTTTTATTTGGCCAGGCATGAGACAGAGC